ACATCTACAAAGCCCTACAATCTTTCCCTGACTTCAGGGATCAGAATCCCAGTCATGAAAAGGGTAAGATTCCAAGAGACAGTCTTCAAACCCCAAGTGTGGTTTGGGAAATCTGGAAGGAGTTGCCCTCACCCAAGAAGAGGAGGTGTCCATAGTTGTCTAACATCACATTCCTGTACAGTTCCCGCTGACTGTGGTTCAGGCATCCCCACTCCTCCTGAGAGAATTCTATGGCCACATCCCCGAAGGTCAGCAGTGCCTGCAGTAAATAACACAGTTCCCAAGTGGCCATCAGTAGAGTTCATAATGGTACATAAAGTGAAAGAGGGCGTTAGTGTCACCAGCTGGACCCCAAGATCTGATCTTCACAGTTTATGTGATTGTACCCACCAACTTTAGTCATACATTTAAAAAAATTTTTTTTAATTTATTTCTGAGTGAGAGAGAGACAACATGAGCAGGGGAGGGTTAGAGAGAGAGGTCTGAAGCAAGCTCCATGTTCTGAGCTGTCAGCACAGAGCATGACATGGGGCTTGAAACCTTGAACCGTGAGATCATGACCTGAGCAGAAGTCGGATGCTTAACTGACTGAGCCACACTTAGTCCATTAGTCACACATTTTAACCTCTTCTATCTGCTTTATCTTTTACTTTAGGCAAAACACCCCATGGGCATAGTCTCCTGTGTTGGAAACAGAAACCATCCAACAAAAGGTAAAGACTGCCCTGAGGAAGAGATTGCATTCGGGCTATTGCATTCGACCTCGATTGCATTCGAGCATGATCTCAGAACACTGAGATCATGACCTGAGCCTAAATCAAGAGTTGTGAGCTCATTGGATGGAGCCACCCAGGAGCTCCCTTGTACCTCACTGGAATACTAAAATCTCCCCTCAAGGAGGAGTACAAAGTTCATTCATGATGGAATATACAGAGTATGTATAGAACTATTTTCTTAAGGCTTATGTGCAACCTTCTACTCAACTCTACAGAAGATAATGGACTCCCCTTTCTGAATATCCACCCTAACCCTAAATGAAAGGACACCATTTCCCCTTCCTCCAGGAGTATCTGCTTTGCAAATTAATCCCTGTGATCTCCTTAGATCTTGTAAATCATTTTCCTTTGTCTCACATCCTCACCTGGTATAGATTTTTTTTTGCCAGGGGGGGGGGGGCGGATTCACCAAGGAAAGAACTACTGTTCCTTCAGTTATATTAGGAGAACTGGTTCTGGCTTAGATGAGTTTCCTAATTTATGAGGTAAGATGGTTTGTAGCCCAGTATTATGCTCTAATATATTCTTAAACTTTGAGGTAAGAACCTTTATAAATACTGTTTATTAAAGAGAATTTGTAAGATGAAGAAAACAACACAGACATATACATGCAAATACATACTGTATTTACATCATACAGTGCATGTGGTATATTTCTTAAATGGAAACTTGGGGAGTTACAAATGTATTTAGCATATTCTAATGTGAATTTGACTTTCAGACCACCACCTAGGAGATGTTCTTAAATGCAGATTTTGTGCCAGAGTTCTGGGATGGGGTAGGTGTTTGCATTTCTAACAAGGCAGTCCTCAAGGAGCCAAGGGACACACATTTCAATAACAAAGAGGAAGAACTAAAGGCAGGAAATCTCAGAGGACTTGGAACTGAATGGATTTTATAGTAAGTGCAGGTTCTATTAGACTAGCAAGAAAGGCGACCAGGCTTTCCAAACATTTCCTGATTCACAGAGAGCATTAACAATTTTTCATAAATTAGGG